AAATGGTATACAGTGCTTCTCAGAGAGACCCTCCCTTCCTTAATTTATTTTTGAGCGGGACAAGTTACCAAGCTGCAATTCGGAACTATAAGGTTGGCGAGGGTACCAATTAATAATTTCAAAATGGCTGCTGGGCGTCATCTTGTCTTGTATTGTGATACCTCATTTTAAGGCCGCTTATGATTACTTAATAACTCTAGAATATAAAATCACTTTCAAAACAACTCAACAACTAATCATCAAATGTAATATTACTAAATAGATCTTATTTTGGAACGGACGGGTCAGTTAAAAAAGTGACTGAAATTGAGAAGTTTTTCAAGTGGGAGTTATATATTTTATTTCGTATTTGGATATACCTTTCCAATATATAACATACTACACTTGTGTGCATATAAATCGGCCCGCTATAAACTTTTGACTTTAACTATGTTTTTTGAAAAAAATAGTCGTCAGATCAAAAAATAAATATACTAAGTGACATATAAATCCGAACACTCAGTTTAAATGGTTTTATTTTAATAAAATTTTGTATAAGTACTTAATGAAGCATAATAAGTAAATGATAAAAATTTCAAAATGATTGCACTGCTTTAAAGCCCTTTGACCTTTAATAATGTGTGGATGCACCCTGATGTGCTACGCATTCTCCAACGCGCCTAGGCATGCTTCTGATCAGCTGGTCAATGTCCTCCTGTGGTATCTCATTTCAGGCAACCACCAACTCCTCTCGAAGTGCTTCTAGAGTCTGAGGAGGACGTTGCAAATTGAGCAATCTCCTACCCATCATATCCCACACGTGCTCAATTGGGGATAAGTCGGGAGATCTTGGTGGCCATGGTAACAATGTGACATCATTATGTTGAAAGAAGTCTATTGTGACTCTTGCAACATGTGGTCGGGCATTATCTTGTTGGAAAGTTGGATCTGCCAGGGTGTCAAGATAGGGTAAAAGATGGGGTTCTAGAACTTCGTGGATATAACGCTGCGCGTTCATGTTACCTCTGATGAAGATTAAAGGTGACCTGAAACCATAAGCTATAGCACCCCAAACCATAACTCCAACAGTGTGATGAACATGTCTTTCAACAAATAACTGTCGATTCCTCCTTTCACCACGTCGCCTTCTAACCCTGGCACGACCATCGTGCATGCCTAAACAAAATCGAGACTCGTCACTAAAGACAATACTGTTCCATTCCTGATCCCAGAGTGACCGTTGTCTGCACCACTCAAGGCGATTACGTCGGTATTCTCGAGTTAAAGGGAGGACCCAGTGTGGCCGGTATGAAAACAAGCCAAAACTTTTCATTCGTCGGTAAACACTTCGCATGCCAATAGGTCTTCCGTGTTCTGCAAACCATTCATTTGCAATGGACCTGGTAGTGGAGAAACGGTCCCTTAAGGCCAATAATCTTAGGCGGCGATCTTCACGGTCTGTTGTTCTACGGCGGCGTCCAGTGCCCCTTGCTCTTTGCGTACGGCCTTCTCGAAGCCATGCCTGACAACACCTAACCACAGTGTCTACACTTCTTTGCACTCTAACTGCAATTGCCCGAAAAGAAGGTCCAGCTTCCCGAAGTCACACTATACGGCCCCTATCAAACTCACTAAGTTGACGAAATCGTACAGGTCTCCGTACTCTAGGCATCGTAACCGATCGTAAAGGATGTCAAGAACCAAAATCCGCCAACGTTGATTCTTTACTGCGGCTGAAATATTCATTTTTAGAGCGTTAGTGAATTAAAAAAAAGCAGTATAAAAACCGGAATGTCCAACTGATAAGGCTGAAAATTTTTTCACTTGTTATTTACCGTAAGATAAATACATTCACCAACTTTTATTAAAATAAAGCCATTTAAACTGGGTGTTCGGATTTATATGTCACTTAGTATAATATGCTGTTTGAAAGACAATTTAATATGCTTTAATGTGAGTGTGAATTTATCAAGAAGGCTTATCGTTTATATGCGTAGCAACCGATAAACAAATGAAAGCTATTAATGTAGTGATTGTAACGAAAATAGCAAGTTTGTCAAATATTAAAATTATTGCATTTGCAACTGAAATTTGCATGATATTCGTTTTTCATAATCTCACCAGTGCTCAAGTTTAATGCATACTACACCACAAAAAGCCGCCCAAGTTATTGCTTTAATCGAAAATGGACTTTTTCAGCGAGCTGTTGCTAGGCAATTGGATATGACACGCGCAGCGGTTCGAAGAGTATGCCAACGTTATGAGGAGAATGGATCCTTTCATAGGCGATTGGAACAGGCAGAAGGCGATTTACAACCGCTCGTGATGACCGCTTTATTGTATCAACAACAAGAAATCGTCACCTTAATGCCGTTCAAGTGCAACAACAGCTCCGTAAGATGCGAGGAGTGGATATTAGTCAATGTACAGTAAGACAAAGGCTGCAGGAAAATAACCTGACCACCAAACACCTGCGATTGGTCCAAAATTTACTCCAAGTACGCCTGCGTTTTGCTCGGGATCAACTGAATTGGACGTTGGGAACAATGTGGATCTGTTCTGTTCTCAGATGACACCAAAATATGCCTCCATGTTAGCGACCGAAGAATTAAAGTGTACCGAAGATCAAGATAGCGAATTGCAGATCGCAGCTTTGAAGAGCTGGAGGTGGTTCCTGCATGATCTGGGGTGCAATTTCTATAGGAGCACGAACCAACCCTGAGTTCATTCGTAGCGTCAACCGTGTTCACGGAAGTTTAACGACTGCTAGATATATCGAGGAGATTTTAGCAATTCATTTGGTACCTTACGTCGACTACTTAGGAGACGAATTTACCTTTATGGATGACCATGCAAGGCCGCACACCGCAATAATCGTGCAAGATTACATTGCTGAAGTCGGTTTTCGGGTTATGGACTGGTCAGCATACAGTCCTGACCCAGATCCGATCGAAAATTTATGGGATGAGCTAAATCGAAGAACTCGAGCTAGACTTCATACCCCAAACTCGATCCCAGAGCTTATTGTTGCAATAGAAGAAGGGTGGCCTAACATCCCACAAGAAACAATAGAAAACTTGATTAGATCTATGCCTAATTGTATGAGAGATGTTATTAGGGCAAGAGGAGGTTATGCCCGTTATTAAAAAATTACATGTCAAGTTTTAAATTGTCAATAACCCTATTTATGTTAATAATAAAAAATCTTAATTTGCTTAATCCATTAATTTCACTATGTTAGACATAGGAAGTCGAATTAAGTTTTCATAAATTTATACTCACATTAAATTATTTTATTTATTTATTATATTAAATTGTCTTCCAAACATCATATTAATTTTTTTGATTTGAAAAATAATTTAAAAAATATAGTTAAAGTCAAAAGTTTACAGTGGATTTCTATGCACGCAAGTGTATAATAGCGCTTTGATGATTGGTTCTTGAGTTATAAGCGACTTAATGTACAAAAAACGTTCAACTTTGATAGCATGCCAGTTGGCCCTTTTCAGAGATAGCAATTTTATATTCTGGAGTTATAAAGCACTCATAAGCAATTTTAAAATGGGACCTCTTCCATTTTTTAAAAATTGTTACAAAATGTCGCCCAGCCTCCACCTTGAAATTGCTGCCACTTTTACGCTAAAATATACTCTTGCATCAATTTGATTACCCTACTTGACCCTAGCTTACTAATCCAGAGCACAAAATCTGCATCTGGGGCACAAATTAGACCACTCGGAAGGCGTTTTTGAAGCAATGGATTTAATGGACATGGTTGACTTCTTTCTAAAATATCTCGCGGACTAGAGAATTATACGATCTGTGTAAGATGGGCCCGTATTTCTCATATTAAATAAAGAAATAGTTTAGCTACAAAAATCTGTTCTTGAATTGTATCTAAGAAGCGTTTATACCCTGCTCGAAACATTGATCAAACCTAATACAATAGCTTGATATGGCAGCCATTACTGACTACCTGGGAGAGATAATTTAAAAGGCTGCATTTTTAACAATGTCCATGTCCACTGACCTTAGCTACATTTTTTTTCTTTTTAGAGTTCTATCATGTCATTTAAATCAGATCATTGATTTTTGTCCTAGTTGTATAAAATTCTGCTTAATAAACTCTTTGAAGACATAAATAAAATTATTACAGAATGCCACTGGCGCTGGAACGGCGACGCCATTTTTGCCCTTCTTGGTGGCGGTATTATTTTGCTTAGCCTAAACACGGGTTGAGCATAAAGGTAGTTGGACCGAAACAGGATTTTTCGCACGGTAGTCAAGCGAAGTGAACATTTACTCGAATTTTGTTAAAGAATAAGCATCCCGTAATTTTATTTATGTCTTCAAATAATTTATTAAGCAAAATTTCTTACAGCAAGAACAAAAATCAATGAAGAGAAAAAAAAGGTTTTTATAGCTCATCTCAATGGACATGGACAATTATTTTAGAGCTCAACAACAATTATGATCCAAAATCACATTTAAATTACTCTCTATAAAGTCATGTAACCTTGCAATATTAATTCACTTTTGTTCTGTCGTAATAATACTATTTATTTAGTTCGAAAAAATCCAGAATTATGAACTCACTTTTCTCAAATTCTGCTTTGCACGTTGCAGTTAGTTGATTTGCTTGCTTATTTAGTATGGCTTTAGTGACGTAACCGTAAAAATCATTGAATGACCTAGATATATTGTTATTTTTATAAATGTGTTGATTTCTTTAAAAAATAAAATCCCAAATTTCCTAATGAAACACTCTTTATCCAGTTAGCGATAGTTAGGAACCCAATTCTATGGTGCCTCTAAGAATGGAACCAATAGACCTAGTTCTAAAAAATTGAAATTAATTTATACCTACTTTGTTAAATAAAAGTTATCAGTAATGGTGAGACATACGATTCCCAAGGTTTGCCTTTTTGTCGTCTAATTTTGTGGATTACTTGTGACAACAATAGATTAAATATTTTTGAGATTTACTTACGGCAAGTGTCTTATAGTAGAATTTTTGTTCCAGGAATTTTTTGAGAAACTGGGAACTTATGATGACGGTTTCGACATTTGGGGCGGTGAAAATTTGGAGCTGTCCTTCAAGACGTGGATGTGTGGCGGTACCTTAGAAATTGTGCCATGCTCACACGTAGGACACATATTTAGGTAAAGCTATCAATACAGTTTTTAGTAAGCTCACTGAAATTGGGTAAATATTTGAAGAGCCACAGGCAAAAAAACTTGGTACAGTCAGTGCGCCAAGTTGTAGAACTATAGCTACTGACTAGTCTCCGAGTATCAGACACAAAATAGATAGTTGCTTTTTCTCGATAATGATATCTTAATAAAAAGGGGGTATTGCTATTATCTATAAAAATGTAAATAAGTATTGAGTCAATCTACCTAATCCCTATGTTTTACAGAAAACGTTCACCCTACAAGTGGAGGACGGGTGTAAACGTACTCCGCCGCAACTCAGTACGACTTGCGGAAGTGTGGATGGACGAGTATGCCAAGTACTACTATCAGAGGATAGGCAACGACATTGGCGATTACGGCGATGTCAGTAAACGGAAAGAACTCAGGAAGCGACTGGGCTGCAAGAGCTTCAAGTGGTACGTGGACACGATATTCCCGGAACTGTTTATACCGGGTGATGCTGTGGCGAATGGAGAGGTAAGAATGAGAACATGTCTATTTTCCAATTTTGTTGTTGAGCAATTTATACAAGACGTCAAGTACGAGACGCTAAATCAACCATCTTTCCACAGGTTGTCGTCTTTTCATGCAACAGGCTTTAATATCCCATACGTTTTTGATCGCACTGTTTTCATAGATTATTACGGCTCGACCTGGGTCTAATCGAATTTTTATTACGAAAGAAACTTCACAAGAACTTGTACATACTTCTTGGCGCCTAAAGAATCGAGTGAGGTGCGGATAATCTTGAAATTCACAGTTTTTTACCTCTCTTTTACCTGATAAATGATATCGTTTTGACTAAAAAATGCTATAAAAAAAACATTAAATACTATTTTAAGGACAAAATGTTTATAGTCAACGCCAAACAAAGTGGCGTGCACGTCATCAAGGTGGGTGTGTTGCAAAATTTACATTGTTGCCAAACTTTTTGTAAAATAATAAAATTTATTATTTACATATCTAGGTTTATAAGCAATATTAACCTCAAATGAGAACAAAAATAATAGTATAATAAAATTATAGATCTGTACTTGCATAATCATTAAGTATGACAATTATTGATCAGATGACACTATGAAACTACCATATTTAATTGATAGCTTAAAGGTACTGAATAAAAATCCAAATGGGGTCCTCCAAATTTTATGCATGGTATTTATTTTACAGAATTCATACAGAAAAATGCATTCTAAACTTAGGTAAGCTACTGGTGTAAGCTTTTTCTGTACAATAAAGTTAGTCGGAGTTTCTTTCTTCAGCGCTGTCTGAATCTGAATCTTCATCACTCTCAAAGTTGATTATTAAAGGTTCGATGTCTGGTCGATCAAAAATTCGTTCTCTTTCATACCATTTAAAAATTTCTTGCTCAGTATGTCGAACACTATTTTTCCACATGTCTGGGGTAACCGTTTGTAGAGCCTCGTTCCACATATCCAAACAGTCTTTTTCACTGTTATCATCTCTACCAATATGTCTGTTATAGTAACCTTTTGCTATGCCCCAAATTAACTCAATAGGGTTAAATATACAATGGTAAGGAGGCAGACGAAGAACTTTGTGCCCATGTTGTTCCGCCAATTCATCAATCACGTATATTTTAGGTGGTTTGTTTCTAAAAAAGCAGTTATTTTAAGAATAGGAATAAACAATAGAAATATAAACTGTCGACCAAAATATATATAATTAAGAAGCATTATCATTATAAACTGTCGACCAAAATATATATAATTAAGAAGCATTATGTACCGAGCAACAATACTCAATAGCTCTGTTTTAAACATTGTGTTTAAAAATGGTATGTTTTGATTTGTCAACCAGTCTTGGATATTTTTTTTTGTCCATGCATTGTTGGGCACTTTGTTCAATATCATGCTGTGATAAGGGGCGTTATCCAGTATAATCATAGATGGACTCTCCAATTTTTCTAATAACTGATGTTGAAACCATTTAAAAAAATTGTCCTGGTTCATCTCTCCATGGTAATCGCTCAATTTTGTTTTCGAAGAAAATATCGCTTCACTACCCTCAATAAACCCATTTTCATTTCCAGCATGTAATATAATGTATCTAAAATATATTAGTTTTAAATTTTATAGTTCAAATTGTGTAAAAGTACATACCTTTTACCATCTGTTTTAATAGCTTTCACGCTTTTTTGGTTTCCATTTTGCCAAGAGCGACCTATGGTCCCATTTTGAAATATCCAAGTTTCATCGAGGAAGACAAACTGGTATAAGGCCTCAACCTTGGCTTGATTGTATTGCCTTAGAAATTCCACCCTTTTCAAAGCTATACTTGGTAGTTCCATGAGCCCTCGTCGCGGATTGTCCTTAAGCCACTTAAATCCAAGATCTCTAAGCAACCGCCTTAAAGACGTGGCACTACCATCAAATAATGCCCTATCTCTTAATCGAGACCATACAGTTTGTATCGTAACTTGTTCTTCTGAAACCATGTGTAATATGACATTATAATTTAGTTAACAAATTAATGCAAATTTCTGATAAGTTATTATAATAAGATCTTACTTTTGTGATACATATTATAGATCACTTCTCGAATGGCACTTGTATCCAATGTCGCTGTGTTGGTTACACGTTTAATATAACTCCGCTTTTTCTTGGGCGATTCTAAATTTGCATCACTTTTCACACCCTCGGAAATATGACTAACTGTCCTTAAACTAATTTTTAAAGCAGCAGCAACACGCTACAAAAAATGAAATAAAATTTCACTATTATTAATATACATTACATATAATTATTAGTAACCTACCTCTTGAACAGCGTTTAAAGGCAACAAAGGCCCGTTGTTGTCCCTTTCTTGCTCAAAGTAGTGCATTAACGAGGCCACGAGTTCCTTACACCGACTATTTAACTGTTTGGGCATCTTTATATACCAAAATTGCCTTTATCTACTCGTAAAATGAATAATTTTGTTTTGAAACAAACAGTTGTTGATTTACAGTATGCGGGGCCAAAGGATTTATAAAGATTTGAAATGCCACAAATTGATTCAGTGTCAAAATTAATACAAATGTCAGTTCCCAGTTTAAATAAGTTTCAAGGTGACAATGTGTCAACGCTGCGAAATCGGTTTAGTGCGTTCACATGTCGATAAGTGATTGGAGCGTTTGCAAAACATTTTATTTCGCATAATGCGTCTAAATTTATCAGAAAGCAACTTATGTGATATATTAATAACAATGTTTATATGACTATTAACCATAATAAGAGAGTAATGACCATTTTACAATTTATATATCACATTAATATGAAACTGCAATAGAGCAATTGTTTGTGATAGAAACCTAGGCATTAGGTCGGGGAATTTTTATCGTGATGACGTGCACGCCACTTTGTTTGGCGTTGACTATAGTTCTATACTTGACATTGCCTTGAAACTGTATAGAGGCCGACGAAAAGTGTACAGAGCCGATGAATCAGAGGTACGAAAATTATTAAAGGTACGACAATCTAGATACTGCTTTGGCGTGCATCAGTGTGCTATGCTCAAATGTTTAGCTGTACCGTAAACGTCCAAGAAGAAGATATGTAATTATGCATACGTACAGGGTCGCCGTTATGTAACTGACTGGATTGTATCTTGAATATTTGTGAAATGAAATAAAATACGGCCATTTTTTTCATCTTAATATTTTATTGAAACTTAGAAATTATGTATGAAAAATAATATCAGACAAATGTTTGCCTCTAGAAGCCGCGCAAACCTAAGCCCTCTTGATTACAGTTTCCATCACTTTTTGGTAGGTTCCGAGAGAAAATTTTTCAATCGCTTCCGTAATATAGTTCTTCAGCTACTCTACAGTACTTGGTTTGTTGGCGTAAACCTGATTTTTCAAAAACCGCCATTAAAACGTCAGAAGCCGTTAAATCCGGTGACCTTGTTGGCCAATTGACATCACCAAATCGAGAAATTAAACGTCCTGGAAATATTGTTCGCAAAAGATTCATTGTTTCGCTAGCTGTGTGACAAGTTGCTCCGTCCTGCTGGACTCACATGTTTTGCAGGTTGAGTTGTTGAATTTGAGGAGCCACAAAGTTTTGCACCATATCACGGTAGCGCTCGCAGGGAGCGTCTTCAAAGAAGTAAGGTCTAATGACACCTCTATACCAAACATCGCACCAAAGTGTGACTCGACGAGAATGTAGTGGTCGTTGATGGATGACACGAGGGTTCTCTAAAGCCCATATACGACAAATCTGTTCATATCGAAGTGGGCTTCATCGCTCATTATCAGTTGTCAGTAAAAATCGTTATTTTGGGTATTAAGCTGCAATATTGCATGACTGTATTGTCGGCGACTTTCGTGGTCACTAGGCTGCAGTTCTTGGGTTAACCGAATTTTGTATGGCCGCAAATGCAAGTCTTTTTTTAACATAGTGCATAATGACGTACGACGAATACCCAGATCTTGAGAACGATGTCTGGTAGACGTCTCGAGGCGCTCCACTACACTTTGACGAACTCTCTCGATATTTTCCGGAGTACGAACTGTTTCAACACGGCCCGACCTTGACAAGTCTTTAACTTCATATGTTTGTTCAACTGTTGTTGACACTGGGCACATTATGTCGACCGAAATCTTGTCGTAGCTTCCGAATCGTTGCAACAGTCAACTCATTATTTAAGTAAAACATTTTAACAATACGGACGCGTTGTGGAATCGTGTAGCAGTTCCATGATGAATTGACATATGTGCCATAAACAACTACCTCGGACCACCTACTGAAATAAAAATGGAGCTCAATTTAAATCAGTCAGTTATATATTGGCCACCCTGTACAAGCACTTGCACGCGTAGCTGCTATCTTTTCATTCTAGATCCTCGTTCCCTTCGAGTCGCTACTTTATATGAGAATATGTGTGGCTGTAAATTTGGCAGTTTTATCTGATTTTCAGTATAGACATCAAAAATCTACATTATTTTTTTGAAATGATTCACATCTACATAATTGGTCAATTAGTGTATTTATTTCATAGTTTGCGTTTAAAATGATGTAGCTCAAAACGCCGATTCCTATTTCAATATATGAACATAACTATTAAACATAAAAATCTGTGAAATTCATAGTCATCCGTACCTAAACCGTTACTTCATACAGTATGTTTCGACAGTTTTTTTTCTCTAAATAATAATGATTTGGTAATACACAGATTCTCCGATTATTAGTATGTTTGCAGGAGTACTCTTAATACCGTCAAGTTATTATTTCATGGTGTATACATATGACTAAAAACAATGTTTTTAATTTTTGTCAAAAAATGCATGTTTGTGCATTTTTTCTTCAATCGTAATGTGTTATCAAAGAATAGGTACAGCTCTGAAATTGTATGGGAATGTTCCACTTTTATAGTAGAATTGAGCAAATAATTACTTTTTTCTTATCACTTTTTTTCTTCAAAAGACCTTTGCTAATTATTTATATTAGTAAACTTGCTTTGGTCCATTCATACTCATTGTGTAAGCTAATTTCAGAGCCTTATGGAGTAATTTTCAAGACAGTCTGGAAAATAATATTTCTCTTTGTAGTTTTCATTGAACACACCATCTGAAGAATTGTGATGGAACTATGATATTTTTGAAAATACCCAAAGACTGGAATAGAGTAACTTAGTGATTTAACATAAGTAGTGGTTATGTTGTTATTTTTACCAAATTTTTATACTATGTTTCAATTGATATTAACCGTATTGTCATATGTTTAGATACGCTAATAAAAACAGTTCTGAAGGTGGTTAGCATGAGTGAATCTTTAATATTTAAAGAGCTTTACGTCAGTTATCGACAGAGGTATCGAATTTGAGGTTTTGTGTTCCCTCTTCACAATGGTCCAAACTAGGCAATACATACTACTGCCAATGTGTAGAAACAAAGCAAGTAATTGTCAGAGATATGATTTAAATGGCTGAAAATAGTTACTCGGCTAGCGTTCGTTTGACAGTTACTGTCATACCGATGCATAGTGGTTCAAAAGTTCTAAAACATGGCCATAACTAGAAAGATTCATTTTTTCCAAAAAAAAACTTGCAGTGTTTTCGAGGTCGCTGAATCTGTTCTACAAAGACCAAAATGACTGACCCAATAAGGCGGACATGTTTGCAAAAAACTGTTTTGATTGTGCTCAAATTTGAATGTTGTATGTTTTTGATGCTGCTGATAACGAAGTTGATGTCGATTCTTATCGAAAATGAAAATGGCGGATTCAGTATGGCAGACCTCTTTTCAAAAAGATATATGTGAATTGCGTTTGAATTCGAGTTTTTTTACGTTTTAGAAGTCACTGATAACGAACTTAGCGTCGGTTTTCCACAAATCAAAGTTGCTGACGTGTTCGCAAAAAAATGTATTAATCGCACTGAAATTCGGCCAGTTACTACTGGCGTTTTCAAAATCAGCATCAATCTTTAATCATTATCTAAAGAAGTATTCCTTGTCTGTATCCTATGATTCTTCTATGATACTTCATCAATAATTAGGTGTATGTGTGGTAAGTATAGAAACTTGAAGACTCGGTCAACTTTAATACCACTAATGCTCTTGATGATTCTGTTATTATTTTAAATGAAAGCTGTACTTTCGCAGATAGTGTAATTTCCTCTTAATTCATTACTAGATTCTACTTTTTGTGAGCTACGACTTTACGAGTATATTCTTACAACGCACCAAACAAACAAGCCCCTGTAAATGGAAATACCATAAGCTTTTCTGGAAATGCTTCTACACGACGTTACTGTGAAGCAATATTTTAAATTGCTTTCCTGCGACTTGAACTGAGCTGTGTATGGTAATCCATCACAAGTGTTTGCACTAGGTGATTTGTTCGGTGAATGCAGGACTACGCGGTCTTTGTCGGAAATAACGACGTAATCCCATGTAATGAATACTCGTAAACGTCAAGGGTATTACTGAAGGCAAATAACTTATACTATTCCAATCAAGGGACAGGAGAAATAACGTAGTTTGCGCGAAATACGTGATGGTGGTTTAATTCATAGCAAAACTTTCCAGCACAACAGTAACATCAAAATGCATTTTTCGTAGCGAATCGGATAGTAATAAATGTTAAAAAATCACCAAACCGAACTGGCTTATTCTCATGGATCGAGATGTTAATAAATCCTAGCTACATCAAAGTGGTAAAAGCCGATTATTGGAAGAAACACTGAGGACAGATTTCACAAAAATTGTTTTATTCAAGTTACTTGTCAGGAAAAAATTATGGAAATAGTATTTAAATGATAAAGTTGTAACACCCAACGAAGGGCATTCAATAGTGTTTGAAAATAAATTTACAGGAAATCATGGAAAGCCAATTTTCTGGTATTTTTTTATATCGAAGCAGCCGCGCAGGCAGAAGCCTAAATGCCGGAACACCGCGGCTGCTATGATGATCCCAAAGAAATTTTGTTAATACGATTTTTGAACTGCCTAAGGTTAGTAGAATTGGAAAAATCTTCCTCTTGTAGATTGTTCGACAATCTCGATACCCTCGGGACAAAGGAGCGGTCGTATCGGCCAGTTCTGATGTACGAAGTTCGACACGGTTAGGATGGGACGCCAAAGTCAGGCGGGTCTGCCTGGCAGGCACATCGTGGGGCGGCATCATGGAAGAGAGCTCTGAGGAGCAAAGCCCGTTGGTGTAGCGCTAGAAAAGAGCTACATCGCCGACGGCCCGCCAGTATGAAAGGGTCTCGAGACCAGGCTAGGCCTTATCTGGGCCTTGTATAGAGTGAGAAGGTCATGCGGAGAAAAGTACTCCTTAGCCCTAAACTTTTTCCCAGCAGCTGCTGCTATTGACGAGATGTGTTCGTGCCAGATCAGGTCCTCGGTGATCGTCAAAGTACAGTATTTTTTGTGTTTTGGAAGCATTGAACTGTACAAGATTGTTGCGTCCCCAAGCAGTGATAGCCTCCAGGTCTCCTGTCAGAGAGGAAGTTGTCGCTAGTCTTCTTCCTTCCAGCTCAGCGGCAGAGATCGGCTTGTCACTCTGAATTCCTGCGTGTAGAGTGCTGTCATGAGCGAAGCTGTGGATTGGGTTGATCGTGCAGGAAAGGAGGTCGTTGATATGTAAGAGAAACGGTGTCGGAGCCAAGACCGATCGCTGGGGAATACCCGCGTTGACGTTGTAGGATGAAGAGGAGAACCCGTCAATTACGACGGATATCTTACGGCCAGAGATAAAGTCAGCCACCCATCTGCAAAGCTTTTCTGGAAGGCCATAGGATGGAAGTTTGCTTAAGAGAGCAGCGTGCCTCAGCTGTTCGAACGCTTTCGTGATGTCAAGAGCAACAACGTGAGTCTCACCATAAGACTGGATGAGTTTACTCCACAATTGCGTGACGTAGGCTAGGAGGTCCCCTGTGGATCAAGCTATGACGTTTGATGTAGTCCGGAAGCTCGCGATTTATGCACCTCTCCATCACTTTACTTAAAACAGAAAGCAGAGCTATAGGCCTTTAGTTGTAAGGGTCGGCCTTAGATCCCTTTTTTGGTATGGGTTGGAAGAAGTTCTTTTCAATCTGCTTGGCCAGCGTCTAGAAAGACCGACTGCCATTGCGCTGCGACATTACCCTGTGCCTAACTTTTATATCAATCTGGTTTTTGGCATTGCAAACTGCTTCTTTACATTTGTTTCTGGACTCAACATCGGCTTGTCTGTTCTCTACAGTGGAGTTTTGTAAGAAGGTTCTGTGTGGCTTGATCTTCTGCTGGCGAGCAGCGTCACACGATTTGTTAATCCAGCCGTTGGACCCTGGTCTAGGCACTTTCACTGTGTGAGGGATGTATTCCTCCATTCCGACGTGGATAATTTCGGTAATCGAAGAACAGACAGCCGACGCATCCGCGTCAGTGAAACAGATATCTTTCCAAGGAAAGCTAGAGAAGAAGTCTCTGAGCCCCTCCCAGTCGGCATGTCCGTAATGCCAAGTTTTGCGGCCAGTACGAGTTTCTGCTGCCACAGCGGGTTCTGACCGAAACCTAACCTCCACAACACCGTGGTCTGAGTTACTCAGGGAAGGCAGGACACCAGTGCTGTAAGGAACAGGATGCGTTGTCAGAAAGAGATCCAGCAGGCTACTGGCGTGTGACGAGACGCGGGGGAAAAAAGTGGGGCTCGTCGCCAGCTGGGTCAGCCCTTGAGTAAGAGCGAACGCTTCGACTGCACGACCTGCTGCATCGGTCTTGTTTGAGCCCAACCAAAGTTCATTATGGGCATTGAAATCACCGAGAAGAACTACCTCTGAAGCGGGGTGATTGATGTTCAGGAAGTCGATCTGGACGGCAAGCTATTCGAGTAGGTCATCCCAGTTACAGTCCGAGGGAGAGCGATAAAGGCAGCAAATAAATCTGGGTGATGTTTTGGAGTTGAGGCGAAGCCACAGAATGTCCTTCCGGTCTAATTCCAAAGAAACATCTCTGAAGCAGGAAAGACTGCTGCGGACAAAAGCCACAACTTCCCCGTTCTTTCTCAGATTGGAGTGCACCTCGTAGTTTGGGAAGTTAAAAAAAAGCACGGCGGGACGATTGGATTGCAGGTAGTGATGGACAGCATCAATGTTGCTGTTAATCCCGCAGATGTTCGAAAAACAAATTTTATCGTTGATGTTGGTCCCTCGAGCCCACCCTCCACCCGGACATTCCGAGGGTGGAGTGAGTTTACGTCCGGAGTTCTTAGTGCTCGAGGGATCTATCATCATTCATTTCTTTGTTTTGGAAGATAACCCACTGCATAGCTTAGGTGTGGTGCGAACATTTATAAAACACCCTGGGAAAAGCTAGCGGGTGGTACTGCCTCAGTCGTATGGTCCTTGTCTACCACCTTCTTTTTACGTGTTAGTGATATTAAATAGAAATAAAGTGGCTCGTTTGCGGACTTGTACCGCCACCCGGCAATCGGTACTGAGGTATTCCTTAACGCGTGTACAATCACTTGAACGGGAAAAAGTTGTATACTGGATGCAACTTCCGGAACAAGCATTTGCCACGGCCCCGCTCAGTAGGGGTCGTCGGTATAATGAAGCAAGCGATGAATATTCTCAAAGCATGAAGCGTCAATTTTATATTTAGTGATAGTATCTTCGCTCTGCTCTAATTTGTATTTTTTTGCATAATCTAATTCGAAAAGGACCTTCATCTAAGAATATGCTATTGCTAGGCCCCAAATTGTTTCACAAATTGTTTGAACGACTTTTTTAATCTAATTCCAAAATTTTCTTCGCTCCCGTCAGATTTTTTCTTGACTTCTTATGACATTCTGAACAAAAAAGGTACTCTCGAACTGTTCTCTAAACTTGATAGTTGTCAAATTATATGCGATTTAATATTTCAAAAGGTGCAAATTTGCCATTTTAGACCCTGAAAGACAATATGAAAAAATATGAAATTTTGATGTTCCTCAACTTCCTAAACATCTTTTAAACATCCAGTAACAAAATACCATAGCATTACAAAAGCTATTGTTATTATAAACATTTGTTTTTTGTTAATCAAGTGCGCGCTCACAGTAAGTTTATTCCGCGTGAGCCCAAGAGAGGTGGCAATATTTTAGGGGCGGTCGCCAACCGCGGCGGAGAATCATTGGTTATAAAAAAAAAGGTTTACATCAATACCACCTTTCGAAGTACTCTAGGGTCTTTTTCATGGACGTTTAAATAATTAGGAAGTTTGGCGGCATTAAAATTTTACGTTTTCTCGTATTGTTTTTCTACGTTTAGAATGTCCTATGAAAAATTTTTCTAATC